GCACACGCCAGAAAGTCCACCGACCGCACAATTGATGTCGTCATGTCGAGACTCACGCTGTCTCATCAGCGTAAATAGAGGAGATGTGCTCTATTTTTTGGAACCACCAGTATAATACGGTTGCGATTCCCGACAGAGCACGATGGCACCAACCTCCAGGAAAGATAAATCTTCATGGAGTATCTTGCCTTAGAAGCCTTAGCGTCCCTGTGTATAAATAAATCTTTACAGAGTATCTTGCCTTAGAAGCCTCACACCAATTCATATTGTTTACCATTCCACCTTCCATTGCGCAAAAGCCTTCTCCTCACCACCTACCCCCGCCACCCTATTGGTTGCCATGAAGGCCGTCGGTGGCCCGGCTGTAGTCCCCACTTCCTCCAGTGGTTTGGCGGAGGCGGGGCCGATGGCGCACCTCGAGTTGGTGTGGGTGGAGGTGGCGGCAACGTCCAGTCCCCATAGATCGGTGTTCCCATAGCTGAGACTCACACCATCTCCTAGGCTACTGCTCTCCCTGTCGCCCTCGGCGACGATGCTGATGCCACCGACACCGATGGTTCGCTCGCCACCACCGGTGCCCTAAATCATTTACTAAAATATGTTATGAGCATCATGTTTATGTGTAATGCATGTGATAGGGTGTGTAGATAAGTTTCTTGTAACTTAAAATGATTAATAAAAATGTTAAACGAAAGTTGATTCAATAGTTCATGTATATCAAGTAGGGTTTGAAACTAATTTTTAGTGAACAAGAATACTATAGAACATGTGTGTGATACTTAAATAAAGTTTGAAGTACAAACTTTGTAGATGATAGTGAAATACTTGCTGTCAAAAAATGATATTACTAGCTAATATTTCCACTAGCTTAGAAATCACAAATTGAAATCAAATTCAGCTCAAAACTTAGAAAATTTCCAAGTTTGTCAACAGCTAGACATTGCTATGTTTAGCAATTTATTTTGGGAGATTGGGTTATGGGGTCATCTAGTGTTATAACTCGTTGGTAGTCTCATGTGGCATCTTGAGCATGGTGAAGATGGTTTAGGTCCCGAAGCAACAGTTAAGTTTTTCTGGTCGCTTTAAAATTCGTGCACGACATGGTTTCGGGTTGGTTTGGCGGCGTGGGTGCGATCAACACGCTCGGGCGCTCAGTGTTGCCGCATTGGTCGTGCGCGCACGCGCTGCTGCGTGCATGGCCAACCGTGGCCGCCTCTGGCTTAGCTACCGCTAGCCCCACCGCGCAGAGCTGCTGCCGCCCGCCACGCCATGATGAAGCCACTGTCGGCACTATCACCACGCCGTCGCGTCCGCCCACTGCTACCTCGCTGCACTGCCGACCCACTTAGCACCGCGATGCTGCCACTACCATCGCATCATTGTCGCGTTCGTGCCTATCCGCTGCATCTCTGCGCTGCTGCCGGTCCAGTGCGTTGACGCCTCTACCACGTGCACGTGGTCGGGCTCGCCATCGCCTTGTCATTAATGACACTGCTACCGTGTGGGCCACGCTTGTCGGGAGCGCGCGTAGCTGTCGGCTAGCACCTATGCGTGGGCCTCCATGATCTCACCGACCGCATCCCGCCAAGGCGAGGACGAGCCAAGCCACCTACCATGCCTTGTCTCTCTCTTTCTCTTTCCCCCCCTTCGCTGTCGCCACCGAGCCGCACCATCGATTACCCTTTGAGCAATCACCTCTATTCAATTCAGCGCATTCCCATCTTCACCATCATGTCCTCTCGCTGCCCGACCCCACCCAACTTTGAAGCGAGCACGGCCAAGCTCCAATTTGGAGTTTCTTCCACCGCCGGTCCAATAATGCCGCATCGGGCTATGGATGTGGGCAGTTGTCCCACCGTCCCTCCAGAGCCAATTCACTTGCACCATCAGCTTTGCCTCACCTCCCTCTTCACCCTGCGCGTCTTAGCTGAACCGCTACCGCCTCCCCTTCACCGCTGACGCGATTGTGCCACCACGGTGCGCCGCCAGCCTTCCTCCATCATCCTCCACCACAACTGTCACCTCGGTTAGGTCCACAGTAGTCTACTGATGCTCCCTCGCTAGCCAGTTAGGTTCTTAGGTGTTCTAGATTGCCGGGGTAGATGCACTGCCACCGTGGATGGTTGTGCATCGCTCCAACTCGCTCCAGCGTGTCTCGCCACCCCTCGCCGCCGCTTAGCATAGTCGCTCGGGTCAGAGATGGTGATCAACCCATTAGGTGTGCCCGTGTAGGTCCTAGGTGGCCGGCGTAGGCGCTCAGTGCCGCCGCTCACCGCGTCGCCGTGCGCTGGGTCACCGGGGGTGCGTGCGGGCAAATTAGGGAAAGGCCAGGGGCTAAGTGAGAAGTTCTGAGAGTGGGGGAAAATAGCGTCAGGACGTAGTTCTAATTTGGGAGAAGTGCGATGTCTCTTTTGCGAAGTCGTCGACGCGCGTGGGATTTCCCTGCCGTGGGCCATCTTGCGCTGCTGGTCGGCCTTACGTGGGCCACGCCTGTGGGCCACCACGCGTGCGTTGCGTCGCGTGGGCCACGCGGTTGAATTCATTTTTTTCATAAGGAATTAGAAATAGCTTTCTAATTTAATTTTTAGCAGGTCTTTGGTAAATCATATAAAATCATGTAGGTGTCCAAACAATTGCGAAACAAATTTTGTTAGGTTCCTAAAATTGTGCTCTATCGGTTCGTGTATTTAGTTCATATATGTACATATCGATACCATGAGCTATTAAATCATTTGAAAATGTTTAATATTGTTAGGAGAATTATTGTAGGATTTTTTGTGGTAAATTGGTGATAGCTTTAGTCCTGAAATTTTTATAGTAGCTTCATTGCATTATTATGTGCTCACTGTAATTTTTGTAGCTTTAGAATATTTTAAGCATTAGGGTAGTTAAATGCTCTTTATTTCAAATATGCATTAAATCATTAATAGGAATAAAGATGTATCCTTTATTTGTAAAGCTAACCTGTTTTCCCTGTTTGTGTCGATTAAGGACCATCCGTTGCTATGGATGGTAGTCAGGTCACAGACTTATTATCCTGAGCACATACTTGCTTATGGGACCGGGAAGGCTCGTTATGCTCTTGTCGTGGGTTCTGGCTCTTTTCGGACCTACTGATTGGAGGCGGGGAAAGATGGTGGTCTAAGCACCATACTGAGACTGGGTCTCAAGTGTGGGGGCTTAGAGTCCAAGTTTGGATGGGGATCTAGACCCCATGACAGGAGTGGAATGGGCTAGTCTTGTTTGTGCCTGGGGTACAAACGGGGTGTGTGTTTTGGGGTACCCAGCTGGGATACATTGGTTCGTGAATCGCCATTTCCATGAGATGGAACAACTTGGCTATGGTCTAGCACCGTAGTAAGAACTGGAAGATGAAAGATGGTGAAATGGTTCTGATTGCTTAACCCTTGCTTGAAAGTAGAACATGTGCTTACCTAGAATGGTTAGCTAATGAAGTAATCATGACTGCTAATAAAACTTGGCTGTAAGGATGAACTATTAGTAATGCTTTTCGCAAACAACAGAAGCCCACCAGAAGATGGTAGCGGATCGGGTTCGGTGCGGATATCCACGGGTTTCGGGTCCGCGGTTTTCGGTTTCGGTTCCTGGTTTTCACCCACGGATTTGTGGGTTCGGATACCCGAAATACCGCGGTTTTGGGGCGGATATTAAAATTGACCCATGGAGCTCCATCGGGGCTCCGAAAATTTCAGCCCACCAGAAGCCCACCTAGGAACCCTAAGTATATAAGCGTGGAATCGATGATTCATTCAGCCCCCAACCGGCCAACCCTCACTCCCTCAGCCCTCATCCGCATCCACAGATCCACCCAGGCGCCGCAGCCTCATAGCCGCATCCACACACGGGCGACGAGCGACGGCGGGTCGGCGACTCGTTCCTTCCCCGCACGGCCGCATGCAGGTACGGCAACGCATCCTGATCGGTGACTCCGGCGTCAGCAAGTCCAACCTGCTCTCACGCTTCACGCGCAACGAGTTTAGCCTCGAGTTTCGTCTTCCTGCCATTCCACCGACCAGAAGAGGTGAGCCGTCCGTCCTCTTGCCCTCCTCGCTCTCAGCCATCGCTTTCCATCCGTTCGTTTTCCCGCCTCTCCGTTGCTTCCTCACTGCTGGGCTGCTTACCGATGCGGCGCTCGCCGCCGCCGCGGTCTACAGGTGCGGGGCATGGGGACGACACCGGATCTGTGGTGCCGCCAGTGGGGCAAGATCTGGAGCGAGGCTACGCGGGAGCTGATCTAGAGCTGCGTCTGGTGTGTCGGAGCTTGGCCACAGTCGACGCCGCGCCTGCTGCTGTATGCGGTCGCTTAGGTATGGTTCCTCAACCATCTTCTTCTTGCGCTTACTGCTTATGAAATCGATCTATAGAGATGTGACATTTTGATTTTTCTTGCGCTTACTTGCATGGACACGGTCTCAGTCTCTCAGATTACTACCTATAGTTGAGAGCTCTCTGTAAGTCTCATTCTAGGCGGTGTGCATGCCAATTGTTCTTGGTGTCAGCGTAGATGTTGCTCACTGGCATCATGTTTCAAACTGATGGTATATTTTACAGAGTCTAGTATTTAAGCTCATAGTACTTCTCATGGGTGCCATGCTAAAGGCTCTATTGAAACCCTAAGATGTAAAATTCTTCAATTATACGCTATTTGCAATTGGCATATATTTGTGCAGTTTTGTGGAAAATTTGTTTTCTTCATTCTCTCTATTCATGGAATGAATTCATTGCTGCAATTGGCTCACACCAAAGGATATATGCAATTTTTCCATATGTTGTTCAGAAAAGTTTTTTTCCATATTTGCTGCAATTGGCTCTGTTGAAACCTGCTCTCATTGCTGCAAATGACCGTAAATTGAAGTGATTTCCACTTTCTTATGCTTTTCTTATTGTCAATAGCCATTGAAAAGTTTGTTGAGAAGTTAGCCCATCTTATGTCTATGCTCATCATGAATTTCCCTTTTGTATTTGTTAGGAAGTGAGCAATGTCGGCTCCTGGCGCTTCAAGTGGATCTCAAGCTGCTGCTGCTGCATCTCAATCTGTGGGTTCTCGTCCACGTCTTACAGCCAATTCAGCAGCACCGCCATCCGATTCAGCAGCACCGGCAACTGATTCTGCAACTCTAGGTAATAATTCAGTGGTAGAGGTAGAAGATGATGTTCCTGTTGGTAGTAAGAGGAAGCTAAGATCTGAAGTATGGAAAGACTTTGATTTGATTAATGTAAGTGGGGTATGGAAAGCAAAATGTAAATGGTGCAAAAAACATTTAGGTGGGGAGACAAGAAATGGTACAACCCACTTAAAGAATCACATTGCTGTATGTCAGGACAGAGCTACTAGAAAAGGTTTAACACAGTCTACTCTTAAATTATCTGCAAACCCACAAGATGGCACTGTCACATTAGAGAAGTATGTGTTTGATCAAGATGTCGCTAGGAAAGAACTTGCTTTAATGATTATTGTCCATGAGTTTCCTCTTTCCATGGTGGACTATGTTGGATTTCGCAAGTTTTGTGCTGCATTGCAGCCAGCATTCAAGGTAGTGTCTAGAAACACAATTAGGAAGGATATCTTGGATATGTATCAAGTGCAGAAGCAATCTATGGTGAATTACATCAAAAAATTGAGTGCTCGTGTTGCTGTTACTATGGACTTGTGGACAGCAAACCACCAGAGAAAAGGTTACATGGCAGTTACAGCCCATTTTCTAGATGAAGATTGGAAGCTTAAAAGTTTTCTTATTAGGTAATAATAAATCACATCATTTTGTGTTCTTGTGGACAGCAAACCACCAGAGAAAAGTTTTCGTATTAGCTAAAAAGTTTTCTTATTGTTGTAGGTTTATTTATGTTCCGGCACCACATACTGCAGAGGTTATAGCAGAGGTTCTTCATGAAGTTCTCCTAGATTGGCATATTGAGAGGAATCTGTCCACTATAACTCTTGACAACTATAGTGTCAATGATAGCCTCATGAAGACCTTGATTGGCACCGATGGTTATGACCTTGCAAAGAACAAGGCTGCTGTGGAAGGCAAGTTACCACTCCTCTCTTGTATGTTGAAGGGCAAATTAATTCATATGCGTTGTCTTTGCATATATTTTTAAATTTGATTGTGAAAGATGGAATGAGTGTAATGGAGAAGGAATTGATAATGTGCGTGATAGTGTTGCATACTTGGTCGGCCACTCCTAAAAGACATGAGAAGTTTGAGAAAATAGCAGCACAAATAAAAGGAAAATATGAGAAAAGAATTGCTCTTGATTGTAAAACTAGATGGAACTCTACTTATATTATGCTTAGCACTCGCACTAGTTTACCAAGATGTTTTTGAGCGCCTTGCTTCTCGCGTGCTCCTTGTGTTCCATCTCAAGATGATTGGAAGTTTGCTAGAGAGCTTTGTGATAGGTTAAAGATGTTCTATGATGTAACTGAGCTACTATCGAACTAAATATGTCACAGCCAACCTTTTCTTCCCCAAAATATGCAACATTTTTTTGACAATTAGGAAGTGGCAAAGCAGTGAAATTCCTAAGGTAGAAGAAATGTCTATTAAAATGAAAGAGAAATTCAACAAGTATTGGTCGATGTGCATGGTTTGATGGCTGTTGCTGCTGTCCTAGATCCTAGGTTTAAATTACAATTGTTGAATGCTCTTTTCTCAAAATTCATGGGTCGAAAGTGTAGCTATGGAAGCTGATCAACAAAGTGAAAGACTTGTTATACAATCTTGTTTTGGAATACCAAGATTGTATGGAGGATGTTGCCACAACAGATGGTGCTCAAACTAGACCAAGTGCTCCTTCTCAGATGGATGATGAAGATTGGATTGACACTTTTGATGATTACATGTCCAAACAGCCAGCTGTGACCTCCACCTATGTGCGAACAGAGTTAGATTTGTACTTGGAAGAGCCACTGCTGCCTAGGACACAAGAGTTAGATATCATTCAGTGGTGGCAACATGCAGGGCTCAAATACCCAACATTACAAAAAATTGCACGTGATGTCCTTGCTATTCCTATGACAACGGTGGCATCCGAGTCAGCCTTTAGCACTAGTGGGAGAATAATTAGTCCACATCGTAGTAGGCTTGCACCATCAATGATTGAGGCACTTATGTGTATGCAAGCATGGTCTCATAATGACATGTTAGGTAAGTGCAATTTCTATAAGTATGTGGTTTTCATTCCATATAAGTTATATAACTAATTTGTGAAAATCACATCAATGCAGGGTCTCATTCTACTTTTGTTGGTGCTTTGATGACTTGTCTTGATGAAAAAGATGAAGAAATGGTAGTGCTGTTGTTTCCTTGTATATTCAATTTGTGAATTTACAATGCGTTGAACATTCAAGTAATGAGCTACTCTCTATTTTTATTTCATAGGATGAAGATGACTCCACCATAATTGATGAATGATGAACTCTGTAATAATCTGGACAGTGTGTGTACTGTTATTTGTTTGGACTGTAATATGTGAACTGTACTGAACTTGGGTTGCTTCTCCAATTCTACCTTTGTGGCGCTGCAATATTTGTTTGGACTGTAATTGATGAATGTTTGGACTGTAATATTTGTTTGGATGTTTGGACTTTGCCACTTTGGACTAACTTCTGTACCATGTACGTCTATATATGTGTGTAATATCTTTTGTTTGGACTTTGCCACTTTGGACTGTAATACTATTGTTTGGACTGTAATATTTGGACAGTGTGTTCTGTAAATGGCTGGACACAAATGTAGCTGCTACTTGCATGTTCTGTACAATATCCTCGGGTTTCGGTTAATCCGTTGGGTTTCGGGGATCCACGGGTTTCGGTTTTGGGGATGGATTTTCACCCGAATCGATTTTCGGGGTGGATTTGGGTTTTAGGTTCGGGTTTCGGTTTTGGGTGCCCAGACACTCCACCCGATCCGAACCCGCCCTGTTGCCATCTTTAATATTGCCTATCATACTCCTTGGAGTCAGAAAACTATTCTCACAAGTCGGGTAAGTCTTGGGAGTACATTATGTACTCAGGGTTCATTTTGCCCCTGTTGCAGGTGCAACTTGAGGAGTAGCTCTTGTGTGGATGATTCTTCTGGTGGGCATAGATGGATCATTGTATCATTTTCGCTAGATGTTTATTGTCATTCTGTTGTTTAATTATCATGCTCTGAACTCTGGTATTGTAATAAATATTTTCTAAGAACTCTTGTTGTATGAAATGAACTAAGTATTGTAAGCTCGTACTCATTATTGGATTCTGGATGTAAAACGTGGATTGTTTTGAGTTCTCCCTTGGGGTGTGCTCGACAGAACTGTCAAATGTAGCTAACTTTTAGGGTGCTTAGCATCTAGTCAAAGACGTGCACCTCCAAAAGCGTGTTATTTCAGGTGGTTCTACCACAGCCGGCCCCGGTGCGGTCCCGCTCACCATCGCCGAGTCTGCTCACCATCGCTGGATCTGCTCCCCATGTGGGTGGGTCACCTTTACCGTCGCGGTCCCCCTCGCCATCCATCGAGGCCAACGATGAGGCCAACATCTTGGCCAAGGCCGAGGCCATGGCCGACATCTTGGCTGAGGCTGAGTTCGAGTCCGACGGCTCTTTGGGCTACATCACGATAGACTCGGAGGCTGATTGTCTGCATGACAACACAATGCCTGTTCTCCTAGGCCTAAATCTATTCTTGTGCATCAGCCCATATGGCGGCCTGGTGTGTCCTGTTTGCCCCAACTGTAAGGCCCGTGGTTAGATCGAGGCCGGCACCAAGGCGCATGTGATGGCAAGGGCACACGCCCCCCTAGATGGCACCTACACCAATGGTAAGAACATTGCCCGCCATCACACCCTAGCAAGGAACCAGGGCTGGATGGCCTAAAGGGATCGTCCGGCCACGCCGGTTCACTGTGGTGGAGAGGTTTGCTGGCTTCAACCAAGGCCGGTTTACCTTGTAGGCACTGGATTTTGTTCACACCTATTGGTGCGCTTGTTACATGACTTGCGTAGAGGTGTGGGATGGCAGTATGGCACTCCTCATTAGTAGTATCAAGTCATGTCAACATATGTAGTTAGGACTAGTTTGCTGCGAGGTGCCGTTAGAATTAGTATGAAGTCATCTTAATCATCTATAGTTAGAAATAGTATATCTAGGTAGTAGTTGGATGACTTTGAGTAGTGGGATGGCACTGCTCTCCTCTTATTATTATGGCAGATGAAGGCATGTTTATGTAGGCTAAACTCTTATCATTGCTGTAATCCACATGTATATGAAGTCTGGTTTGCCATTATATTTCTATCTAGTAGCATTGATATCCTCTTATTATGCATGCAATGTGCGTGTTTGTGCAAATATTTTGGTTCACAAAGTATCATTTGCCAATATCTTCATGCACATGTGATGGTCCAAGCATTGTAAACCTGAATGGGCCGGACATATCTCAATCCAACTATGTAAGGGTTGCTTTGTGCCTCGGTTTGGTGAACCAAACACATATTAGTAGTGGTAGTAGTAGTCATGAGTGGCTTTGATCTGTGTTGAACCCAACTCATCACTTCGCTCTCGGCAACTGTGTAAGGTTTCTTTGAGGGGAGCAAGCCTGGCCTAAATGCATAACAGAGTAGCCATAGGTGTTGAAATTCTACTGCGCACGTAAGAAAGTCCTTCCACCATATATTTGAATGCGTCGGATAGAAAACATGTCGTCCGTAGTTTTGAGTGTCATAGTGATCTATGTGCATTTGTTTGTAGTATCAGTAGTCATGAGTGGCTTTGATATGTGGTGAATCCAACTCATCTTGTTAGCATGTCTCTGCAAAACTAACCAAGAGAAATTGCTTACGAAAGGAACTCCTCTTCACTCTTCAATCTGCCCCTCGACTGTTGTGACTGCTTGGATAGAAGTGAAAAGACCTATCACAACCATACTAGGCTTTCAAGTGTTAATTGTGTCAGGGTGGTCAAAAAATCACTTAAATTTTCTCTGATTCACTCCTATGCAGCTTTCCTCCTACATTCACTTCACTCTTGACAACTGCGCAAATGTTTCTTTGAGAGGAGCAAGACTGGCCTAAATGCAAAATAGAGTAGCCATATAGTAGCCTAGCCTAAATGCACATAAGAAAGTGCTTCCACCGTATATTTGAACATGTCGGATAGAAAACATGTCTTCCATAGTTTTGAGTGTCGTAGCGATCTGTGTGCATTGTTTGTAGTATCAGTAGTCAATAGTGGCTTTGACCTGTGGTGAACCAAACTCGTCTTATTTGCATGTATCTGATAAAATTTGTTGAACTTGCAACAACCATGCCACGAGG